AGCTAAAACTTCTGAACATTTGAAATTCCAGCACTTGTTGTCAATAGTATGTTTCAGCTCGGTTTTACGGATAAAATCGAAAGGCTGGAGATCGTATTGTTAGTCGTGTTAGATCGTATACTCTTCCTACATTTAGCTGGACGCCTGGTTGCAGGAACTTCTAAGTTTTCTCGAGGCGTGATCGGAAAGTGATTAGTGGAAGATGGATAGTTGGCAAAGTATTGAGGTTGAAACAATTGTGCGGAAACCATTGTGAAGTACTCAGGGTAATTCTGAGATCAAGACCTGTGTTCGAAACAGGTGTGAGAATATGATGGGCGATAATGAAGACGAAAAATGCAAGAGATGAAGATGACATGGAGTTCGTTCTAGAGTTGAAGTATATGAGTATGTGTTTAAATGTAAGATGGAATGAAAATTTGAGTTGATTGAATTTAAACCTAGCGTTTAATTTCAAAAATATGCCTCATATGCCATGCAGCTTCTTGCATCCGTTTGTGGGAGAATATGATGCCACCTTTCACTATCTTGTTGAATTCATATAAATTTTCAGATCTGTCATCATTCCCATTCCTTTGTCTTAATCCATGTCTTCCTATGAAATTTTCATACCCGACGTTGTCCATTCCGACTTTGGCTTTGCCATAGCTTACCATTCGTTTTTTACGGTTTTTCATATCGAAGCTTGTTTTAATATATCTTAAGTTTCTATACGGACCATTTTTATCCGTTTTATTCATTTTCAGTGAATTGTTTTTCCGTGGTTGTAAATTTTTGCAAAAATTTGTTTAGCAACTTAGATCATTATTAAAAACACATGTAAGCCACCTAGGTGCTCTTTTGCTATCACTTTTGGTATTCATTGTGACAAATACAAAGGTTGGTTCCATGAAGCATGCACAGACCTTATAGTAGCTGCTTACTACAAACCTACCAAGTCAGATAACAGTCTAGTATGTTGCACATGCAACACGAATGCTGAGAATTTACTGAGCAACATCAAAATTCTCTTGACAGGTCTGCGAAAACATCAGCAGCAATCCTGATAAAAGGCAGTCTCGAAACGTATAAACACATAAAGACGCTCAGTAAAGTTTAGAGGGTCTTCAACAAAGTAATATTTATGTGACACGCCACAAAAATAATGAGGGTATGCTGTGGTCTTGTGGAATTATGGTCTACTATGATATTAGTGCTGCTCCAATAATAGACCTGATTATAAATTTGTAGATTCGTCATGATATAACTGCCTAATCTATAAGATCTTACGTGGAAGTCACACCATCGACTACGCCAACTCACTGTATCGTACCAATTACCAATACATGATGTAGAACAAGGTTAGGCTAGAGAAAGACCAATATATTTAATATGAATAGGAGAAATAAGATAACATTCAGCAGGGACGACGCCTGCATGGCCGAGCCATGCCGTTCGATCAACTCTAATTCACTATTCGCGCCTTCTCCATCATAAGGTATTTCTCCGCGTTAAATATTGAATATCTGTTTTCTGAGTAGTCTTGTGTTCAGCTTTGAAGATTGTGTGGTTATGGTCCAATGCCACTACAGTCTCATGGTCTCTTACTGTAGGCGGATGGACCCATGCAAACAGGGTTATAAGAGATCGAATGTCACCACTGAAAATGCTGAACAGCCCAGTTCACGTAAGAAAATCGGCTAGTGAATTGTCTGTGTAATCGACCTGCAGGATTGTCCAACCAGTCAGCACAGGGTAATTTGGATGCCGACGTGTCCTTTCACGGTACGGGTATGGGCCATCACGTGCATCTGTCTACAAATGTTATTAAATGCATATAACCATATATACAGACCATATTCTGGGCGCATTAGGATCAGGAACATCTTTAAGGAATCTCATGAGACGTTTTTTCGCTGTAGTAATATCATTTTACAAGGTATCTCAGAAAACACGGACTCTGTTTATGCAGACTATGATCTTCTACCGTAAAAATTCATAAAGAGGTGCTTGAGGCTCAAGAATATATTGACTCTACAAGTGGTGTGATTAGCCAGGAGGGACAGCGATTGTAGATTCCGGCTCGTGAAGATAACCTTCTTATCCTCTTGTATGGCGACTGCCACTCTCGTAGCACTTGACTCCAACTGACCTCTGTTATCAACTGGAATCCACATGTATCCGGACAAGCCATATGATGCAAGGATGAAGCACAGAGGCAAATTGGAACAACGAAAAAACGTAGGGGGACAAGGCTGCCAACACAGAATACCCTGTGTATGTAGGTTGCCTGTCCATTCACATAATGCTCATTCAGATAAACAGAACAAGGAAGCCCACGCGTTTCAAATCGAAAGCACTAACTACCTGTATGCGAACCCCGCGATTGTGCTGAACAAAATGGATGAGTTGCGTGAACTAAGTAATGCTAGTAACATTTGTGTGGTATAAACACTTCAAACATGGGAATTTCCAAGTACGGGTGACGAGCTAACAATACCCAGCATGTCTTTGATTATCAATAACAAGAAAACAAGAATTGAGCGGAGCATTGATCTGACGATGTGAAATTCGGAAGAGAAGTTTGCAACCAAGATGATAAGCTGGCACTTCAGGAAGATCTGACTCGACTTCAAAGTGTAAAATAGTCCATCTGAGACGTGTTACAGACCATAAATATAACTTAGGTAACTCCTCTCTAGAGGTATCCCAAGTTGAAAAAGATCTAGAAGTGTTGGTGCCCCATGATCTAGAGCCATAAGTTAACTGTACTGAAAACGCCTCTCGAGCAAGCCTTGCACTATTAGCATTGAGGCTCATTTTCGGTCAGTTTGATAATGAAACTTCCCACTTAATCCTCAACAGCTTTATTCGCTCCCGTTTCGAGTATGGAAATATAGTGTTCTTTCCCCTACTCTAAAAAGGTGAGGATACATTGGAACGTATCTGACGGCAATCCATGAAATTAGTTCGGTAAATCAAATTCAGGACTTGTGGAGAGCGCCTTCAATCACCAAACCTTCACCCACTAGAGTATAGGCTTCTCAGAGGTGACTTTCTAATGACTTACAGAATCCCAAACACTTCTGGGTGCCCCCCTTAAACACCTACTTAAGCTCAGTCCCAACAAAACATTTCGGGGAAACACTCATAAACTGGGGACACAACACAGCAGAACGGACTGTAGGCACACCTTTTGCTCTTTACGAGTAGTCAAATGACGGAATTCGCTGCCGGTTGAGCTCGTCGATGAGACTCCTCAAGAGTCATTTAAGGGGAAACTTGACATATTATTGGGGACTACCCCTGAAAATGCCACAGGTATTCTGAGTTTGATATCGCTTCAACCAGTTACACTTTCTAATGTGAATCCTATTCATCAAGTGCAATCAAAAGACTGGAGCGAGGAGGCTCGAAAATATATTTGATAAGCTATCATATATTAATATCCCTTTTCACTCTCTACACTATCACATAAATGTACATGTATTTATCCTGGCGTAGTAAAGGAGCTTTTATTTTATTTATTTTTTCATTTGTTTTATTTTATTTTTTTAATTGCTGGTTATCATTGTTGAACCCTTTCAATAGGTGTTTATTTCTTTTCTCTCTCGTTTTTCGTTCTAAGTAAATACTATACTTAAGAATTCGATGTTTGTAATCAAAACAATAACTTGTTTCACACTTAAATTAACTTCTCAGACTTGTTTTATCTTCCTTTATGCATATATCACTCATAAATATTGATATTTGGTTATCCTTTTCACTTAATTGAGACTTTCATAGCATCACTCCAAACTATGACTGCAAAAACATGTATTCTAGCATCCCATCTTTCTGCAATAATAAGGTATTTTTTCTTAAATATTTTCTATTTTATTTCTGTTACTAATTTAACGATACATACATAGTCGTTTATTGTTATTCTGTGTTCATAAACACGCCTATTGAACCATTTGCCTATTTCACGTCTCCTTTATTTCTATTTCCTTTTTTCTTCCTTTCCCTCTTTAAACTCAATCCAATATTCTTCTCAATTACATAAAACCTGGTTTGTTATTCTTCTATTATTATTATTATTATTTCTTTCAATATGGCGAATATAATGCTAACATTATTAAAACTTGTGTAGTATTGCATCTTTGAAGAAACATGAAATCGTTTCTTCACAACACCTATGTACCATAAGATGTCTGTGAATAATAATAATGTATACATAGAGGATCGTCCGATCTAATCTGGCTAGCGATTGCAGGGGTTGTTATTATTATTATTATTAGCTTTATTCAATATTATAATTTTGGTACAATATAGAATTCTCAGCGCAAAGTATTTCAACAAGTTTCCGTTTCTTTCTTCTTGGTCGGTCCTGGCGATAAATATTGAGGAATCGCCAGTTAGATGTTAGCACTTCAGTGAATGAACAACTGAATAATGTACATTCTTTTCGTTGTACATTGCCAGCAACCATATTGTCTCTTATTAAGTTTTCTGTAACTTTGACAACGAAAGGTTGTACACTTTTCAGAAACGCAGCAGAATGCATCATGGGATTAATAAACATAATGATATATTAAAACAAACAACAATAGATAACTTGTTGAAATATCTAGATGGCAGGAACAAGTAGCCCAGATGCTCAAGCAGGCCGCCCGGCATTCCCACTCGTGATCTGATGAGGATGCATGACCGAGCGCCTTCAGCTAGATGAGTCCATTAAAACTAATGTGGTCGGCATCCAATGTCGAAAACTTGCAGAGCTATTTATTTTGGGGATTTATTTACCACTACACTTCAATATGATTTACAGATTATTTCTCTTTCAATGTCAAATATACCCAGGTCCCTACCTGGAGACATTGGTGGTCCACTGCTACTAGATACGGAGGCTCGTTAAGTGAAAGCTTCTCCTACTCTATTCTGAACTTTCTGTAACCCTTTGAATCAGGTGATTGAATGTTGTACATTGGACTTTAAATTCCAAGGCTTCGGGACCATTTAAATTTACAGGTCATCGCATTATGAGTGGTATAGTTGGGTACGTTACTAAGTATAGTCTGCGTATTGGTTATGTTAAAATTCATACGCGACTTGAATTTCGCTCCTCATGGGCCTTTTTAATTTCTGTGCTATATTAGACTTTCGGTCTCTCAGTGAATAATCTGTAGAATGAGTCATTAAACCTGATTCACCAAGTCTTCATCGATATTCTTGAATTGAATGTGTGAAACATCAGTATCAAAGTTCAGGAAAATGCACTTCATATCGATTGAAGTGGGAATAGCCTTAGCATCTTTCTACCCTATCATCCTTAATGTGTGTGCTTTCTGCAGTCCATTTAAGTAAATAGGACTAATAAATCACCATATTTTCTATAGATAATATTTACTTTCATGCGGTATTAATTCCCTAGCTAGAACCTTTTCGAGTTCATGTTTTCTTTAAAAGTGCACATCGACCTTATTTATGTATTCATTAAAACTAGGTTTAAATACATTCGTCTCCTTATACTTTACTACTATTATCCTGACCCTTCTCCTATTTTTAATTTCATTCATGTATTATATGGTGCAGTAACCCAAAATAACGAACATCAGCGCTAGGTTTTACGACGTATGGCATGTCAAAATGCAGCTTTTATTAATTTATCAGTACAAATATTAGAGACCCTGGGTATTGGGCCTTTAAAATAAACCTCGACCAGATAATTTGTGTAGATGGAGAACATAACCAACCATTTCTAGTCCTATCACTTCCTAGTGCTAATCAAACACCACCAATGTGGAGCTCCCGCGCGATTGTGATAGATTCCTAGTCGTCACATAATATCTTTAATCATTAAATGTGGTTACTGCACGAACCTCAACCGAGTAATCTGCGTCTACTCACATGACTTAAATCAAAGTTCAGTGAATTCGCATATTAATGTCATATTTTGGTCTGCCTAGCCTCAACTCTCTCCTAACCTGTATCTACCCTCATTAAGTTTTGCTCGATGGTTAAGATTTTTTAATTCTTACTTTTTTTTAAGCGACACCATTGCGAGAGGGCAGTAAGTGGAACTCCCCTGGGATTGGGTTATAATTTGTGGTCATATGAGAGAATTTCGAGAGAAAGGGTAGACTTGGTACCGCATGCCTTATCAGAGTACTAGAAGGCATTTTTATAATTAGCCTTTTGATTTTTATTTCATGATGTCATGTCTTTTTGACACTATCCTAAGGTGGTTCTAGTAGCTGTTTGTGTGCTTCGTGGATTATCAGCAAAGCATGTTCTTATCCATAAAAAGGTACGAGCGACCAAAGTGAAATGTGGCATCGGTCCGTAAGGTCACTGACTTAAAGTGAATTATGTAGGCTGGTGCAGACTATCTGGTTGGGGTTCACGAGATCGACGGTTAGAGGCTTTAGGTCGCATGGCTTGAAATCATTCGCAACTTCACGTTTGCATTCACTTCCTCCCGATCTTGAATTTCAGTATTCCTCCTTATGTACCCTTCTACTCCGTCCTTCTGAACTGTTGTCGATCCGCAGTCTTCCTCATTGTCGTTGCGACTTCATTATCTCAATCTTTGATATTCATCTTGTTATTTTCGTCTCGTGCTATTGCTAGGAAGACGCACTCATGTTTGTAGAATAAAATCTTGGACTTTTTTTACAGATCAACTCGTGGGCTTGGGAGCAAGTATGGGCTTGGTGTCAGTTCTCTGGGATCATCCAGCGACGTCGTTCAAATACGTTTGCAGGGTGATTCCTATCCTAGTAGCGATTCTTTGGGTTTGTCCGGAATGGATATGTTCGGTGGACTATCTGGTTATGGTGTTTCTTCCGGTGTACCCTATTATGTAGACTCAGTAGGTGGGAGTGTAAGTCTAGGTGGAGGAATGTTGGGATTTGACGATGAACTTGGTCACTCAGGACTAGATAATAGTGAACTTGTCCAGTTGTTGGGAGGCAGTCAAGCTATCGCCCAGCTTTCAGATAGTCAACTAGAAGAACTTGGTCGTGCACAGTTTACTATCGTGGATCCTAGGACTGACAGTGAGCTGGGTAAGTTTATTATATATATTTTGTTAAGCATCACATAATTTACTCGTTCCATCCTACATTAGTAATCCTCTTCATTAGTTAAATTGCTGTATTGTCTAGAATTTTTTAAACTTGTGTCACGACAACTAGACAAATCTAAGGAATAATTTTTGTAACATTTAACTGGTGATTTGTCCCCTTTGATTGCTCAAATTACTTGCTCAAAACAGATGTTTACCATAGTCGTTCTTAGCGAGAAAGTTTCATAGTTGAATCGTGCAATCACAAAATGCTTACAATAATCAACAATTATGACTGACCTCACCATTAATGAACTTTTATTAAATTAACTCGAATTCAGCTTGCTCAAATCACCCCATTCATATCTTATATTTTATTGGGCTGCAGATATTCGGAGTCCCAACCATTGTTGCTACCTTGACGTGGTGCTCGGGCTTGCCTATCGTGATGAAGCAACCGAGCTATACTGGCTGGAACAATCGTTCCTCAAGGTCCTACCATGTCAAACAGGTTGGTTGAAGAGCGGTAAGACTAAAAGCAACAACCCTAAGGTCCGAAGGCGAAGTCGTACTGCTGACTGTACAGAGGTGTGACAGCAGTAAAGTGTTTCCTTCAGACAACCAGCATAACAGCGATGCTGCCTTCCCACAAGGAGTGGTGGGGTTAGAAAAGGTCGACCCTAAAAATGCACGCCTCGCCTTATCCCACGGATATCCGTCTCCGGCGGTAAGGTCCCAAAAAGTACGGAGCTAACACAAAAATTACCCATAAAAAGGTCGTGTGTGACCAGTGTGGTCATTCACTTGACCTCACCTCGGCAAAACGGAGAGCAAACGAGATGCACCCTCCGTGTATCTGGTGACTCGACGGCTTTCTCTCGTGGACTGGCAGGAGTAGGCATAGCACTAAGCATGAGGGCGGAACAAGCACTGTTAGAGTGGATCCCCGTTAACAATCGTTTATATGCTGTTCAGTTAAACGGCTCCGTAAGAACTCGGAAGGATAGGGACACACGTTGTTGCATTTTTGTCGTTTCTGTCTACGCTCCCACTGACTGCAGCTCAGATGAAATGAAAGATGAATTTTACAGAAAGCTATCTGAACTTCTTCAGAAAGCTAAACGTTCAGACATAGTACTCGTAGCAGGTGACTTTAATGCCCAGATAGGTAGTTTAAACCAAACAGAAAGGTATTTAGGTGGGTATTTTAGTATACCGGCACAGCGAACAAATAATGGTGATCGTCTGCTGCAACTGTGCTCAGAAAATCGTTTATTTTTAGCAAACATTTTAAGCATAAGGAGAGACATCGTTTAACATAGTGACCCCCTACACCAAACCAACGATGGACTCAAATAGACCATATTGCCATCAGTCATCGTTGGGGAGGGTCGGTATAAGATTGTCGCTCATTCTGGAGTACCTGCTTGGACTCCGATCATGCTTTTATAAGGGCACGCATCTGCTCGCGCCTCACTGAACGCAAAAGAGCCACATTAAAAAGACCCATTAGAACTGAGTTGAGTAACGAGAAAACCAAAAGTAGGTTCCAGGAACAACTGAAGTCACAATTAGGTAGTTCTGAAAACGAGGCTGACCCAGATGTTGCTTGGAAAGATATATAAACAGCTGTGGAAACAGCAATGAAATCTATTAGTGACTTAAACCACAGAGTTACAAAGAACCAGTGGATTTTTTCAAAGTCTATCACACTGATGGATTCTCGCAAACTCGTTCCATCAGGTTCCGAACATGATGAAGAGCGACAACAAATCAGATCTAGGTTAAGAAAAAGTCTAAGAAACGACCGTGAGCAGTGGTGGGCAACGAAAGCAAAAGTCAGTCAGTAACAACGTAGAACTTCGTACGTACGTACATCAGTTCGAGTTGCCACACCACATTAGCACAGAGATGCAGTTGTCGATTCAAATCCCGTAGTGGTAAAGGTAATAAAAGTATAAGCAGTAATCGGGAAGATAAGGTTTCGGAGATGTTATCTAAAGAGTATAATCCAGTGAAATAAATTTGGAAAGAGGAAAGAAGGGACATGAAGAATTCAGAAGATTAGAATTTGGAAGAACACAGAGAGTGGATGCACCTGCGCCATTGCAAACGATTTTGAGCCATGTCATTCAGGGTCTCTAACCATCGGTTGCTATCATCTCGCGGTCCCCAACCAGGTAGTCTACACCTACCAACATGACTCAGTTCACTTGTCAGTGACTTCATGGACTTGTGCCATGTTTTGGTTTGGCCGCCCCTAGCCTTCTTCCAACCTACTCCTATACCACTGAACATAGCACGTCGAGGCAGTCGGTCGTTGGGCATACGTAACACGTGTCCCAGCCATCTCAACTGATGAAGTTTCACTGCGTCATCAATTGATTTGCCATCCTTACCTAGTACCCGTTTCCTAACAACTGTGTTACTTACTCGATGGTCCCATGATATACGAGCAATGTTTCGAAGACACCTATGATCAAATACTAGTAACCTACGAATATCCTCTACTCTTACCGGCCATGTTTCACTTCCATAAAGCAGGACGAAACGAACTGCTGCGCAGTAAACACGTCCATTGGTTGATAGACGGATATCTCGCTTACGCCATAAATGACGCAAGTTGGCAAAAGCTAGTCGAGCCTTCTGTATCCGCGCTGAGATTTCGTCACACACTAAACCACAAGGGCTGATGAGACTTCCAAGATAAATGAAGCGGTCGACACACTCAACTACTTCACTCCCTATCACTAGTTCGGGTGTCGATGTAACCCAATCCTGAATCAACATTTTGCATTTCGAGGGAGAGAATCGCATCCCGAACATGCTTGCATTGTTGCTTAGAGTGGTCAGAAGACTCTGCATTTTGTCAGCGTCTTCACCAAATAAAACTAGGTCATCTGCATATTCTAAGTCAACAAGTGAACCTCCCGGTAAAAGTTCAACCCCTGGAAATTTAGATGAGGAGAGTGTTATCTCTAAAAGTACGTCGACCACAAAGTTGAACAAGAATGGGGAGAGTGAGCAGCCCTGACGAACACCACTTGAGGTAATCAATTCTGATGACAGTTCGCCATAAGCTCTCACTCGACCAGTTGTGTTCGAGTAGAGAGCCTGTATAAGGTTAATGTACTTCTTTGGTACTCCTTTCAGTGACAAACACTGCCATAGAACCTCACGATCAACAGAGTCGAATGCCGCCTTAAGGTCGAGAAATACTACCATTGTGGGGCATCTGAATGTGTGTCTGTGTTCTAGAACCTGACGTAGTGTGAATATCTGATCTATACAACCACGTCCAGGTCGAAAACCAGCCTGGGTTTCTCTAATCTGCTCTTCACGAGCTTTGATTAGGCGTCGAAGTATTATTGAAGCTAATATTTTAGACACTATATTAGTCAAACTGATTCCTCTGTGATTGTCACAAGAGGACTTTTGTCCTTTCTTATAGACTGGCACAATCAGTGATTGAGACCAGTCAGATGGGATTACGTCCAGTTCCCAAATTCTACCTAAGACCTCGGTTAATCTCATTGTTAATACTGGACCACCATCCTTAAAAATCTCAGGAGTAAACCTGTCAGGGCCTGCTGCTCTCCCTCGTTTCAGATTTCCTATGGCTTTTTCAACTTCGTAAAGGGACGGAGGACCTACATTAACTTGCCATTCAGGTTGACTAGAGATCGTGGGAAACCGAAGTGTGGCTGAAGGCCAGTTGAACTGATCCCTAAAGTGTTCTGCCCATCGATCCAATCTCCTGGATTGAGAATGAATAATATGTCCATCTTTCTCTGAGATTGTTTCGCTAACGGTCGGGTTCCTAATTCCGGTTTCCTTAACGAGTCTGAACAATTGTCTGCTATTACCTATTGCCGCTGCCTTTTCCATCTCTCTTGCTTTCGCTACCCACCACTGTTCGCGATCATTGCATAGACTTCTTGTCAGCTTGCGCTTAAGCTGACTCCGCTCTTCATTATGTTCAGAGCCAGGTGGAATGAGTTTCCGAGCATCTATCAGTGAGATAGATGCTGCTGAGATCCAGACGAAAGCAAAAGAGATGGAAAAGGCGGCGGCTATAGGGAACATAAGACAACTCTACAGACTAATAAAAGAAACTGGAACTAATAAGTCAAATGTAAGTCAGACTATTTCGGGAAAAGACGACACCCTCATCTGCTCTCAGTCCAGACGTTTAGAACGATGGGTGGAACATTTCAGAGAAAAGTTCAACTGGTCTTCAGCTACTCTACAACTACCCTCCATTCCCAGACAGTGTGAATGGAACATTGAAGTAGGTTCCCCAACTCTAGCTGAAGTTCAAAAGGCTATAGTTAATCTGAAACGAGGAATGGCAGCTGGTCCAGATTGATTGGCTCCAGAGGTCTTTAAGGATGGTGGTCCAATTTTAGCGATTAGGTTGACTAATATTCTAGCTAAGATCTGGAAGTTAGACGTTATCCCGTCTGACTGGTCACAATCACTTATCGTCCCAATATATAAGAAAGGGTCAAAATCATCCTGTGACAACCACAGAGGGATTAGTTTAACTAATATAGTATCTAAAATACTAGCCTCGATAATTATCAGACGCCTAAAGAGTCGTGAACTGCAAACACGAGAGACTCAAACTGGCTTCAGACCTGGTCGTGGCTGCATCGACCACATATTCACCATTCGTCAGATTCTAGAACACAGGCATACTTATCGGCGTCCGACAGTAGTGGTCATTCTCGACTTTAAAGCAGCATTTGACTCTGTAGATCGCGAAATTCTGTGGCAGTGTCTGTCATTGAAAGGCGTACCCCAGAAGTATGTAAACCTTGTAAAGGCTCTTTACTCGAACACTACTAGTCGAGTCAGAACTTATGGCGAACTGTCATCTGCTTTTGCAACCTCAAGTGGTGTCCGTCAAGACTGTCCACTTTTTTCATTTTTTAAAATTTCATCATAGACCTACTGATGGAAATAACGTTCTCGTCGACTGAATTCTCGGGTATTGATCTCCTTCCATGAGGTCCACTTATCGACTTAGAATACGCAGATGACATAGTCCTGTTTGGTGAAGACGCTGACAAAATGCCGAGTCTTTTGGTAGCACTAAGCAACAATGCCAGAATGTTTGGAATGCGCTTCTCTCCCTCTAAATGCAAGTTGTTGCTTCAGGACTGGTCTGCGTCAACACCTGAACTAAGGATAGGGAGTGAAGTAGTGGAACGCGTTGACAACTTCACTTATGTTGGAAGTCTGATCAGCCCTAATGGGTTGGTGTCTGACGAAATCTCAACACGGATTCGAAAAGCTCGCTTGGCTTTTGCCAACTTACGTCGCCTATGGCGAAGGTGAGATATACGTCTATCAATAAAAGGACGAGTATATTGCGCGGCAGCTCGTTCTGTTCTACTTAACGGCTGCGAAACGTAGCCATTAAGAGTAGAAGATACTCGTGGGTTACTAGTATTCGATCACAGATGTCTTAGAAATATTGCTGACTTCTGCTGGGATCACCGATTAAGCGATAGTAAGGTTAGACCCAGGGTATTAGGGAATGATGATAAATCAGTTGATGAGATTGGGAATCTCCATCGACTGAGATGGTTGGGCTGCGTATTACGTATGCCTGAACACCGATTACCACGACGCGCAATGCTGGCTATTGTTGGAGATGGTTGGAAGAAAGGGGTGGCCTGGTCCTACGTTGTAGTTGACTGACTGACCATCATCTTTAAAATTCTCAGGGGTTAGCCCACCAGACATGTTCTCATATCCCTCGTCTTAGATTGCTTATATCTTTTTCAACCTCAATAAGAGTTGAAGGACTTACATCAATTTTCCATTTAGGATTGAAAGTGAATTATAATCCCATATGTTTCCAAGATAGTCTAACTAAAATCCAGATTTTATTACCCGTTTCCTTAATTGGCCTAAACAGTTGTCTAGTGTTACTTATCGTCACAGCCTTCTCCATCTCTTCAGTTTTCGCTGCCGACCACTGCTCACGATCATTGCGTAGGCTTTTTATCAGCCTACATTTAAGCTACTTCCGCTCTTCATTGTGTCCGGAGCCAGGCGGGATGAGTTTTCGAGCATCTGTCAGTTCAGTAGACCCCACTGAGTTGCTGTATCAAGTTTGGTTTTTAGTATATGTAATCTTTTATCGTCGTAGTTGTTTCACACCGACGATGCTACACATATGAATATATTCACCTTTTACATCCATTTGCAGCAAACTGTCCTCTAAGTTTATCCGTGGAAGAAGATGATCGACCTTTAGATGAAGATGAGATCTTGTGTGTAACCAAAGCAAGATGCCTGGATCGTGTTCGTGTCCTGTCTGTTCCAGCTTCCGGATATACAAGTATAAATACTGGTGATCTTGCCAAATGCATCAATCTGCGTGAATTAGATTTGTCAGAGAATGCATTACGCGTATTCCCCAGACGTCTGCATTTACCGCAGTTAACAAAACTCAGCATTACAGGGAATAGATTTATACACCTACCGTTGTTTGAACAATTTCCTAAACTCATTCGATTGAATTTAGACGACAAACTGAAACAAGTATGTCTGGTTTTTATTCTTTGTAATATGTATTTAAATTGTCAGAATAAACACTTGTATACTAATTATAAGTATGGCACCACTACTTCTACCACCTAGTAGTAATAATGATAATAATAATACCTTACTCCGGCAACAAATGTTCCCATCGGAAGGAATCTCCAGTACGAAAATACACATTATTGCTATACATTCCTCCCTAACACACATTTCGATTATAAATATTCAGAAAATATATTTGAAATAAACGTTTAATATTAGCGATCATTTGCAGTTTATCTTCAATTGCAAACATCTATGAATTACTCAACTTGGTTTCTTTTAATCTATAAATTATTGGATGTATGAACTCCAATCTAATCGCCCCTCGTTTGTGGATTTCAGCATCATATTATTTTGTAAGCGTACTGTAGTAGCCTGTAAGTACATTTTGCAGCCAATACATATACTAACTAGTCAATAAATATAAAATAAGAAACTTTCTTGCAACATTTACACATTTGAAAACAGTTACCTCAAATATTTATGCAGGCGGCCAAGTTGGCTCTTGAAACATAGATAACAGACAATTATTATGGTAAAGTATCAGAAAGGCGAGTAACAATTCAAGTACTTTTTATTGATGGTTACCAACGAATGAATAGACAAATGTGGAGGTAATTACATGTAGTCATTGAACTGTAAAATCATAATTCAATACCATTAAAGAAAAGTAAAAAAATTCCTACTACTAATCGACTGGCATATTTAAACGGGTAGTAGAGTCACTCCTGATTTTAAACTGTACGAAAGAAACATTATTAAAAAGATAGGCAAATGTTTCAACAAATTTAGAAGAAATTTATTCGGTGTCTCAATATTGCAAACACAAAGGCTCTAATATATTGGACAGATAATTTGAAGGTGGTTTTGATATGACATCAACTACTTAATCTTACATATGGTTCGAAGTCTCATTTATTTTCACGCAGACTGTAGATTCGAACACAATAGTGCATTGTACTCCAATCCTAAAGAATTAGCGTGCATCTGAATGCGTTGGCACCGAAATTTCACCAACCATAATTAATTACAGAATCACTTTCTGAGTTTTATTTTCTAGTATCAATACAAATCATATACCAAACGTTCGAAACAAAACTTATTGTTCATTGGTCATTTGATCAAAGGTTATAATAAAATGAGCTTTTTCTGTTACACTGGTTCTGCCTCTTCGAATACTATATATGCTATATAACATTTTGTCCCACGTAGTTCCTTAACAATGTTTGATATACATGATCTTAATAGACAAACACCATCAAATTTACATCTTACGGAAACTGGCCTGAACACAATATTGTTGAAAAACTATATGAGAGATATACTCGGGTAAATGTAATAACGTACAAATATCCTATAAAACAGATGTGTTTGGATATACCAAATAAGTTGTCATTGGATAGGTCATACAAGCGTGCTTGTTAGTTTACGATTTCCTGTATCTTTGTTAACATCTAATTTCAAAAAAGTCTTAATAGTCTCCTAAATGAATGACAATACTTAGTGCTTAATGTTAAGTTGGTTTCCCCTAACAATCATATGGTCATGTTACCCCTTTAAATTTTTCTATTGTTAGGTTGATAAAAAGGAATATTTGATTATCCGGATTATGTCATCCACTGTTTATCATATATTTCATCATCTATTTCCTAATGACTTGTCTTTTTTTGTAGTTATTAAACCCTCAAATGTTGGTCTATTTTTGTCCGAAACTTAAGTATATTAATGGTATATATTTTGAAGAAATGCTAACCGATTTCACAGTTCGTATTATTCAAGAAGCACGTTCAATAATGGAACCTATTGTAAGTGATTGTTTCATGGTATAAATTACTATTATTAATCCTGTATTGAACAAGTAGTTCTAGATGAACACCCGTCTCTTTAATTGAATCCATGGTCACAAATTATAACGATCTTCACTTACCTATTATTCCGAAATAGTCAGAATCATAGATTAAAATGGTTACCTCAATTCTTAAAAAAAGGTATCGTTAATTTAAAGTAAGAGGGAGCAGCAGAACTTAATGGGTTAACTCCGGTGATCTTTAAGGGTGATGATTCGGTTTTTACAATGAGATAAACCGAGATATTAGCTAGAGTTTGAAATTTGGACGTAATCTTTTCTGACAAGTTTCGATCGTCCAGGTCTATGAGAAAAGACAGATCCTCTTGCGATGCCCACAGAGGGATCAGTTTGGCTAATATGGTGTCTAAAATATCATCCGACACCTAACACACCATGTTTTTTGGTATAGGAGTAGGTTAGAAGAAAGGGGCTGCTATACCAAGACGTAGCGGCAGTTCATAAAGTCACTAACTCTTGGACTGAGCCGTGTTGGTACATGCAAACTACCAGCTTTGACCCCGCACGATTATCACAATTAATGGTTGTAGACTGTGACAAAGCCCGAAATCGATCGCAGGAGTGCAGATTCATTCTTTATCTTCCCTCAGATTTTGAGTGTTCAAAATTATCTTATACTCCTTCATTCTATGAAGAGATTTTTTCTTCTTGAATCATATTGTGTATCCTTAATCTTTTCTGGTACTACTCGTACTGTCGCTACTTCCACTACTCTGATACTTGTCTCGATACTTTCATCTGGCTGTGATGGTGTATGATGTGACAGCTTGGTCTTATTAAGTGAGAAAGCATTATATGTAAGAACCTGTAAAAATAACTCAATTTTTCTGTAAAGTTGATTAGTGGCTTGTGTACTGACAAAAATATGCTCTGAGCTTAAGAGTATGATGTTTACCTCAATATCTCTTTATGCTGTTAATTATATGCTCTCATGTTTCAGATAAGATCAAAGTGGGAAACAGACTTTGCTGATCAGTATCCTTTTGTTAAAAATCGAGAAGAACGTATGTCATTGATTGAAAACATGATGGAGCATATAAAAGAGCGTAATCTTCTGGTTGGTGAAGCCTTAAACAAGTATAAAGATTTATTGGTAAGTGTGATTGTGTTTTTCTCATATGGTTCAGTGTTTTTTGTGCAGTTTTAGTAATTTAATATACATCTTTAATAGCCATGAGTTTCATATCGCTAAAACAGTAGTCATAGTTTTAGTCATCATATTTCGAAATAAGTGTTTCTAGTTTATACTGCGTGATGACATTTCGGGACCAAACTATATCAGTTTTATTACGGAACTGATGTATCCCTTCATTACGATTTCGAGAAACATTTATACCGAAGATAATTTATGATTACCTATTTTTAGTGCATTCTTCTCTGTTTTGCATCGTAACATAAGTATTTGTCCATTCTATTACGACTAACATTGGTCGAACATTCATCTGCTTAGGATTTCGAAAGTTTTGTTGTTTTTACTTATTAGTAAAAATAGTAGTATGATATTTTTAATATATTTTTTAGTGTTGCGTCTAATGTTATTAGCTATTTTTGTTGCCATTACTTAATATTTCCCATATAAGTAACTTTGCTTTTTTTAAACAGCAATAATGATATCTTGGTATTTATTAATTCTTCTCTCGGTATCGTTTGTATCATTCTACGAACTTTAAGATAATTAATGTCCAGTTCTCGTTATTATTCATATAAATCAGTACTCAACACAGCGGTTAAATCATAAATTTGGTTTCATTCACTGTAGTCAGTGTTTTTATCCTCACACATTAAATCAATATTTTAGTGTAACATGCCATTACTTATATAGTCGCCATCAACCCTATCACTTTTATTTATCTTTTTTCACTTTTTGCTTTGTTTTCTCTTCACTTACCCAGTTGTTTCGTTGTATCGATGAGTTTCTACGATCCATGATATATGATGCCACGGATAGGGAATTGTTGCATGCAGTTAATTCTCTGGATACTCCTAAACCAATTACAGATGTAGAGAATTCTACGGATGTCACTCATACTACTACGACTACTACTGATGTTACAAATAAATTATTTATCAAATCAGGTGAATCCACCGCTAATGAGAATCATACTTTGACAGAAACCATCACAAATAAAATGACTGATAACTATTTGACTGAATCGGTTGATGATGGCGCTGCTGCTAATGATAATGATGGGGATATTACTGGTGGTGCTAATATTACTACTACCACTGCTATCACCAGTCAACATGAGAATATTGATTCATTACAGTTGCGTACAAAACTTTCTGCATGTGATTTAGAATCTGACGACATACAAGATGATGAAGATGATGATGAGGGGGAAGAAAAAGAAGCAGCTGCGCGAGCTGCAAGTTAGTTCCAAACTTTTGTTTATTTTTTTCCAGGTCTCTAATATATATAGTTTGGATGAATTATTCAAATCCAAAGTTCAGTTGTTTACCATACTCTTCATCTCTCTAGACACTTGGGATAAAAATAATGTTATATTATCCATCCTTCTGCTCCTTCCTAAAACGAATGAAAAAAATTGTTTCTTTTAAATTTACCTGCTTGATGAAAGCTACCAATGGCATATCAAAATCTCAAATCCCTTCTTGATTATGTTTCTCTTTCAGTACTCTGCATCAGAGAGATCATTGATTGTAGCTTTGCTAGAACACGTAACTTTATTAACATGATTATGTGTTGAGAAATCATTCAGCTATGAGAAATACAGACATCTATTGCATAATTTATAAACCAATACCAAACCATTCACCTATCGGATATTATTTCAGTCGAATGGCACCAAGTCCGACCAACCATAGATGAGAAAGTGTGCACAATTATTACTTCACGGTTGCTGTTTCATTCAGTTTTAAGGAATTCGAACTAGCTTATGGTAATTCGGTCGAAGTACTTACAACATATTTCTAGTTTCAGTGTATCCCAATGTTGGCATATTACCTCGACTAATGAGCTTCAAATCATGAAGCAATCAACCTAGCAAAGGTCATTACTGACAATCATTAGGTGTTACTGTTTTTGGAAATCGAATCCTGGCTAGCCTTTTTTAGCATGATTATCTTCATGGTGAATGAAGTTTGTCTTTTTTTAGCAAAGCTATTGAAGTGTTTTGAGTTAACCCAACTTTCGGTGATTGTCTAGTTTCTCTTAATAAGTGTTTGTCACTTATAATTTTAATGAATATCTTTGATTTATCATTGTATGTGTTATTATTGAACATTATTCATTCTAAGTAATGTGATATATGTTAGTAATAATGATAGTAAGTAATGAATCGTCAACTGTTGTACATCTAAAGTGCATCGCGAGTTCTTCGTTAGATAACGCATCAACCGATAAGATAAAAAGCTTTCCCTAGAAATTCCTTATTCAGATATGAAACCATAACTAACTGAAATTACGCATTCAATTACTTGGTTAGACAGCTGAATTCCATTGCAACTCCTTTTTTTATGAGAATAAGATCTCCTGCCGTTACTTATGCAGTTTAATTGCAATGGATTAGTATACATGCTGAGTAGTTTTCGTCATATTAAATTCTATTCTCAGGCTATTTCACAAAAGTTATGATTAGCCAATTTAATTAATGTAGGCAAAAACAAATAACCAAAAAGATCCTTATTTATTGAAAGTGTATCCATGATTCTTTTTGATAAGTGGACTGTCAGATATTTTACATGGACAATCTCAATTTATTACATGGTTTTTTTATAAACTTGAATCCTCAAGTGTTCATACCTAACATGTAAATATAATGCCTCAAGAGTTTATACTTCTTACACATCCATCAATTCAACTATATTCATTAAAGTAACATGTTTAAATAGGTCCTTCATGATTTTCAATATTCGGAATTTAAACTGTAATTGGTTACAGTAAGTAGGTCGTTTCTTTTACAAACACGTTTTGTAATATTTTAAAACGGGTAATGTATGACTTTCTTTTCTTTCATGCTATAGATGAATGTGCGCTGTTCGATGCTACCGACGAATTGTTAGGTACTCATTTACCTGATTTACAATTATTAGCTCAAAGTGCTAATCAACTGCAAACTACTTTTTTTGTGGATTCAATGGGTCGTTTACATCAACAACAAGTACTTCTCACTCCGAATGGTGCTTGTCAGTTAGGTTTACAAACTAATGGACTATCAAATTATCAACTGCATTTGGGACGGTCATTACGTCAAGGTCGTTCTATAGTTATGACTGTTGTTCGTCCACGTGGTATCAGTGGACGACCAGTGGCCGAATTTTTGCCTGGTGAACTGCGTAACAAAGATTATGTCAAAGGTTATATGGCCTCTGAGATATATAAGAAGGCTGTCAAAGATACTTTAGGTCAAAAAACAACTCCTAAGAAGTGAGTATGATCTTGTAAGACTATATAAACTTGTATATGTATTATTTTGATAAGCATCATACGTTTCCTTGATATAACTATACTTTTCTTGAATGTGCCACAAAATTATAATAGTAATGGTTCCCAGCACACTATACATATTCATTCTTTGGGTGAACTGTTAGACATACTTACCATATAATATGACTGGATTAATAATGCCCCTAATCGACAAAATTATACTACGATAAATTTATGCTTTTCTGTTCCGACGCTCACTCCATTTGGTGTATACGTTTTCACAGGAGATAAATATATACATTTTATCATACTATTTCTATTTTAGTCCAGTTCAATTCAGATATGTTTTTTTAAGGAAGTTTAAAACTTTATCATTTGCAGATAGTCATCTAAAACCCATCAAACTCAAACGTAATGTATCCGGGCACTTATTAACAAAATAAGCATGCAAATTTAAGAAATGGATTCTCGTAAGATCTAAGTAGTTATTGTTCAGTGACTCAATAATAAAGACTACTACCGACCCTCTTGATTATTGATAAGGAATTCCAGTAGATTAGTGGTTTGCGAAATCAAAATTACTGTTAACAATATGTATAGTAGTGTATAGTGAGACTGATAATACCTTGTCAAGTATAATTTTGTACAGAAATTGTTTGATAGATGCTAAGTAATATGATCGTTTATTTCTCAGTTATTAGATAAACGTCTGTTGAAGAGAGTAATTTTACCAATTTAAATAACTTCAATTTCTTTGGCCATTGATTTGGAAAGCTACAAGTTGGAAAGTAAATATCTAAATGTGATCAGACACATAGACTATTTTGTTGTTTCTGTTTTTCTTTCATAACACATTCATGTATATATAGTACCACCCGGTAATTGAATGAATCAGCATCAGTAGCACTTTTGTTTCTATTTTATTTCTTCCTGACTTGTTCTCTGATCATGCATCTTTCTGACTATATGGTTGAATGTAATATCAATAGCTAGCTTCTTACAATAGTAATATCTTCGAATAGATCATCGTAAATCTTACGTACTTTAATACTAGGTTCTACTTGTTAAGTCGAGGGATATATACTACATTAGGTTGACAGTTAATCATTTCCTAATGTATCTAATTTGAATAAACATTTTTTAATCTGGTGATATTTTAAAAAATGGATCTGCAAATGCTTGATAGACGTACTGGTACTGGTAAAATTCGGAAATCCGATCAAATTAATACATCAACAGGGGAACGTCCTTGGCCTGGATCGACGACAACTAGTACGATTCCATTAGGCGAACTGAACACTGAATTGGGCAATACAGGAGCACCTACCAAAAGAGTAACTTGTACATCCAACCAGATGGCGAGTTCACGAACCGGATCAAATCGGCCGAGTAAAGTCGACTTTGATGTCGGCGAAGACACAGGTGGCGCAACAGGCGGTCTTCCTCCTCGACCAAAGAAACGGAAGTCTATGGGAATGCATAGGTAACGTTATTTTAATTGGTAACGATTCCATTTTTACCTACTATATTTATTGAACGTGTATTGTAACAGTAGATCTACTGCCTTTTACTAAAGGATTTTATCAACATTAACTGATGACCCTTTTAGCTCACTCATGATATCATCTACCAGCGCTACAACCTTCATTCAGATCATTTAGAAAGCACTTGTTTTTTATCATTATGATTACTTACTTACTTTACTTACACCTGTTGCTCCCAATGAAGCATAGGCCACCGACCAGCATTCTCCAACCCACTCTGTCCTGGGCCTTCTTTTCTAGTTCCACCCAATTCTTGTTCATTTTTCTCATGTCTAGTTCCATTTCCCGGCGTAATGTGTTCTTTGGTCTTCCTCTTTTCCTTTGGCCTTAAAGATTCCATGTGAGAGCTTGTCTTGTGACGCATTTGAGTGCTCTACTCAATGTGTGTCCTATCCACTTCCAGCGCTTCTTCCTAATTTCTTCCTCCGCTGGGATCTGGTTTGTTCTCTCCCACAGTACGTTGTTGCTAATCGTGTCCGGCCAACGGATCCGAAGTATTTTGCGTAGACAACTGTTAATAAATACCTGTATTTTCTGGATGATGGCTTTCGTAGTTCTCCAGGTTTCTGCCCCATACAGTAGAACTGTCTTGACATTTGTATTGAAAATCCTGACCTTGGTGTTGGTTGACAGTTGCTTTGAGTTCCAGATGTTCTTCAGTTGTAAATATGCTGCTCTTGCTTTGCCGATCCGCGCCTTCACATCTGCATCAGATCCACCCTGTTCATCAATGATGCTGCCCAAATACGTAAGGGTTTTTACATCTTCCAAATCTTCTCCGTCAATTGTGATTGGATTGGTGCATTCTGTGTTGTACCGGAGAATCCTGCTTTTCCCTTTGTGTATATTGAGACCTACTGCTGCTGAGGCTGTTGACACACTGTTCGTCTTCTTTTGCATTTGTTGTTGCGTTTGGGATAGAAGGGCCAGATCATCTGCGAAGTCTAGATCGTCTAACTGCATCCTAGAAGTCCACTGTATCCCGTGTTTCCCTTCAGATGTTGATATCTTCATAATCCAGTCGATCACCAGGAGAAAGAGAAAGGGTGAGAGTAAGCAACCTTGTCTAACACCGGTCTTCACTTCGAACGACTTTGTCAACTGTCCTCCATGCACGATTTTGCAGTGTAATCCATCATATGAATTTTTTATGATATTGACTATCTTCTGAGGTACGCCGTAGTGTCAAAGAAGCTTCCACAGTGTTGTTCTGTCCACGCTGTCAAATGCTTTTTCGTAGTCAATGAAGTTGATGTAGAGTGATGAATTCCATTCAATTGATTGTTCCACAATGATCCGTAGAGTTGCGATTTGTTCTGTACACGATCTATCCTCACGGAATCCTGCCTGTTGGTCACGAAGTTGGACGTCTACGCAGTCCTTCATCCTGTTTAACAATTCCCTTGTTGAGGACTACACGGTATTGAGAAAAGAGTGATGCCCGTGTAGTTATCACAGTTGCTGAGATCGCCTTTCTTCGGTATTTTGATCAGAAGTCCTTCTTTCCAGTCATTTGGTACTTGTTCCTCATCCCAAATCTTATTGAAGAAAATGTGGAGCATCCTTGCAGTTACCGCTACGTCTGCTTTCAGTGCCACTGTTGGAATGTTGTCTGGTCTTGCTGCTTTGCCACTCTTGATTTGTCTGATGGCCATGCTTATCTCTTCAATTGTTGGTGGGCCAACATCGATTAGGAGGTCCGTGCGTGCTGCTTCGATGTTGGGTGGGTTCAGTGGAGCTGGTCGTATCAAGAGTTCTTTGAAATGTTCTACCCACCTGTTTCGTTGCTCTTCAATGTTGGTGATTACCTCGCCTTCCTTGCTTTTCACTGGTCGTTCTGGTTTGCGGCGATTTCCAGAGAGTTTCTTTGTCGTGTCATACAATTGTCTCATGTTTCCTTCTCTTGCAGCCTTTTCCGCCGTCGTTGCTAAATCTTCCACATATTTACGTTTGTCGGTTCTGATGCTCCTCTTCACTTGTTTGTTTATTTCCGTGTATTCAGCTTGTGCCTTGGTTTTTTCTGCTCTTGTTCGACTGGTATTGATTGCTGCCTTCTTGTTCCTTCTTTCTTGAATCTTATCCAGTGTATCAACAGTGGTCCATTCCTTATGGTGGTGCTTCTTGTGACCCAGGACCTCATGACATGTTGAAGTGATTGCCTCTTTGATCCCCTTCCAGTTGCTCTCCACAGTAGTTCCTTCTCCATTGAGTAGATCATGAAAGGCCTGGAACTTGTTGCTGAGGACTATCTTGAATTTGTTGAGTTTGTTAGTATCCTGGAGAAAGGCCGTATTGAACTTTTGTGATACTGTCTGCCCCGTTGTCCAGTGCTTCTTGAGTTTCAATTTCATCTTGGCGACCAGTAAGTGATGATCTGATGCTATATCAGCTCCTCACTTGGTTCTCACGTCTTCCATCGTCCTCCTGAACGTTTTGTTGATGCAAATATGGTCGATTTGGTTTTGTGTAGAGTGATCCGGTGAAGTCCATGTGGTTTTGTGAATGTGTTTATGTGGGAATATGGTGCCGCCTATGACCAGCTTATTGAAGGCACATAGGTTTGCAAATCTCTCACCATTTTCGTTTCTTTCTCCCAGTCCATGTCGTCCCATGATGTCTTCATATCCAGTGTTGTCCGTTCCAACCTTGGCGTTGAAATCTCCCATCAGAATGGTCAGGTCCTTTGTTGGGCACTTCTCGATTATTGACTGCAGCCTATTGTAGAATTGATCTTTAGCGTCTTCATTGTAGTCGTTGGTAGGCGCATAGCATTGGATGATGTTCATTGAAATGCCCTCTTTTTTGTTTTGAAGGAGGCTTTGATGACCCTTGGTCCATGAGATTCCCATCCTATAAATGCATTTGTGCTTGTTTGGACAGCATCAATGCAACTCCTTGTGTATGTGGGGCATTTTCTTCTTCATGGCCGGAATATAACAGGAGCTCCCCTGAAGTTAGTCTTTGTTGTCCAACTTGCGTCCAATGTGTTTCACTGATCCCAAGCACCTCTAGGTTGTATCTTCTCATTTCTGCAGCAATTCGGAAGGCGCTGCCGGTGTCACACATTGTACGAACATTCCATGTACCTAAATAAATGGTTGCTCTGGTTTTCAGAAGGGGCATCGACCTCGTAACTTCCGAAGGAATTCGGCTTTCATCATGAGGCGTCATAATTCTTCTAAATGAAGACCTTCTGACTCCCAGGGCAGAGTTTAAAAGGTTTGAATAATTTTTTCTGGTTAGCGTTTTTTTAGCGAGTTAGTTTTCTACAGGATGGGGTCGCCAATCTCATGCCCAACCTTCCTCCTTTATCCGGGCTTGGGACCAGCAGTGGCCCCCGGAGGGACTCCAGGCGGAGTTATGATTACTTACTACTTTCAGTTATTTTCTATAATTCATCATCATTGAATAAGTGATGCCTTAACCGCTATAAACCATTATACTTGGTCCTACATCCCTGTTAGTCGTTCACTGAGCACAATATACTGCAGTATATTATATACCTTAGCTTTGCTACTAAAATTATATGGGAAGGATTTCATCATTTTTTATTACTTATTATTTTATTATTTGTCAAATGGCTGTTTTACAGTATTTTGACGTCGTGTTAATTACAATTTTTTTAAATCGATTATTTACTATCTTATATTTTACAAAAGAATGATAGTGTTCAGTCGACCATAAAATTTGTCACTCTACTTTGAAGCATAATTGACTTTTGTATACATCTGGATCTGTTTTATTTTGAAGTCTTGGAATTACTGTTCGCTTGATCTGTTAGGTTTTGAAAGAAATAAAATTATTTTATATACTTGCATAAACTAAACCCATAGAAGATTACGGCTTCATGTTTTCCCTTCTACTTTACTGGTTAAACTATGAGATCAAGCGAAACTGTCTGGCGTAGTGAGTGTGTAAAATTCAGTTGACAGATATTCAAGACTTGTCGTTGGTGAAGCAAGCAACAGAATGGATCAGTTGAATTAAATTCAGCTCTGACGGTTAAGTATGACACTGGCTACTCACCTAGCAACTGTTCAGCGTTAAGTTATAATGGTACTAGTTCTGGCAGTATGGGAAACACGTTTGCCAGTAATCTATGTTTACCGTTATACTCTTTTGTGGTATTTCCGTTTTTACGGAATATTAAACATTCCATTTTATCATTCATTTCAATTCTCTATTTCTCTTCATATTTTAGAAGTTTAAGAGATCTTTGTTCAGATACCCCATTCTCATCTGATGCCTATAACAATACCACTGCTAATACAGTTGTTGGCGGTGGTCCTAGATCTGATGCAACTCCAATCGACTACGACCCATTACATTTCATTCGTTGTCATGCTAAGGACAATGATGCAGGAGATAGTGAAACTAAAGTTTGGCGTTGCCTATTTGAACCAAATCCAATGAGACCCGATGAAACAACCCACGTAGTTGCAACCTGTGGTGGTGAATGTGTCTGTCTAATCAATTGTGAAACCGGCAAAGTTATGAAGCGTTTTAAACATATGGAAGAGGTGAAAAAACTGTTTCTTCCTAGACTTTTGTGTTGCTTGTTTTATCCATACTATTGATATATGGAATGAGTATTTTCGTCTTTCTGATACATTCATAGTCTGTTGACATTAAAACTGAAAAAAAGGAATGTATGTGCAGTTTATGACTCAAATGGAGAAGTCAAAAGTGGGTTTTGATGTAATAATAATAATAGTAATAATGGAATAATTTCATTTTAGTTCACCACAAAAAGTTAAATGTCAAATTCATCAAACCCACCGATTAGCTTGAAATGATTTTCTTTTACAAATCGAAGTCGACTAATTAGTCGTTGAACATATCTTTACGCCAAATGTTTTGTGATAAGTAAATAGAATACAAATTTTATGTAGTTGATTGTCCCTCCTCATCTCCATACCTTTTTATCAATATAAAAGCGTTTGAAAGTGATTTCATTTACTGGAAATTAAATCCTTTTAAGACATTACTTTGAGCTGAAACTAAAAATCTACTCATTAAGGTCACTGACAATAAGTGCAAAGGCAATTTAATAAAAACTGGTCAATATCACTCCTTCATTTGAATTCCTTATCTTTTTTTCCTTATTCGACTTACTCTCACCCTCTCATAAGAGTGACAATAATTGACCTGATTTAAGATTGTCACTTCTGTAGTGTTCAGCAAACATAGACTTATTGGTAAAATCAGTTATTAGAGATCTCAAGTAGTTCACTTCAAAATTGGTTTCAATGCTATTCCTCCAGATCTTGACCTTATCATTCTATACCCACTTGTTCTATGTTCGTTCACATTTTCACTTTGCTAGGCTCTTTCAGTCAGTATCCAAGTTGATTGTCGACTTAATTCCAAAAGAGATGAATTATTTAAACTATTTAATTCTGGCTAACTTTACCGTTAAATTACAAGTTAATGAAATCAAAATAATTGGTTTATAAGCTAAACAATATGTACAGGCGGGTTATACCGGGGGTTGTAGGATTAGTGAATGGTTTCAAAGTTTTGGGGTGTGAATATGTTGGAGCCCGCGACTGATGTGTAGTATAGTAGGGTGTGTTTGGAAATATTGGGGGGAGTTGGTATTTAGTGAGATTTGGTTTGTGGTGATGTCTATGTGGTGTTATGTGGAGTTATGGTGTAGATGAGGGTGTTTTGAAAGTAGGGGGAATTAGGAGATAAAAGGGATGGGATTTGGGGTGGAGCGTGTTGGAGGGAGGGTGATGGTTGTTTAGTGGATGGGTAATTGGATGAGAGGGAGTGAGCTAGGTGGGTTTTTAAGGATGGGGAAGTGGAAGGTTTGTGGTTTGTAATTAGGGGTTTGTAGTGGTGATGTATATGTGGATGGTGTTTGTGGAGGTTGAGGGTTGATAAGGTTTGTGGTGGGGTTGTTAATGGTTGGTTGGTGGGGGGTTTGTGGGTGTGGGGGGTTGTGGTTGAGGTAGTTGGGTGGAATAGGGGTAGTAAGTTTATAATGGGGGTTGGTTTGGGATGTGTAAGGGGTTTGGGGGGTTTTTGGTGTGATGTTAAGGGTTGTGGATGGTGGGTGGTTAGTTTGGTGTGATGTGGTTGGGGGTAATGTATATTTTGTGGGTGGGGGGGGTGGATTGTATAGTTGTTTGTTGTTTGATTGTGTTGTGTTTAGAGTGGGGGTGTTTTGGTGGGTGGTGTGTTTTGTTGGGTTGGGTGTGTTTGGGTTGGGGTGGTTGGGGGGTTGGTGGTTTGGGGGTTGGGTGGGTGGTTGGTGGTTGGTGATTTGGGGGGGGTGGTTGTGGGGGGGTGGTGGTTGGGTGGGTTGTTATGGTTGGGGGGGTGGGGTGGGGGGGGGGGTGGGGTGGTGGTTGTGGTGGTTGGGGGGGGTGTGGTTGTTGGGTGTTTGGGGGGTTTGGTGGGGGGTGGGGGTTTTTGGTTTTTTTGGTTTTGGTGGGTTGGTGTGGGGTGTGTGTGGTGTGTGTGTGTGTGGTTGGTTTGGTGGGTGGTGGTGTGTGTTTGGGGGTGTGTTTTTTTGTTATTTTTTTTATGGTGTTGGTGTATGTGGTTTGTTTGGGGGTTTTTGGTGATGGAGGGGTAGGGTATGAGGGGTGGGTATGGTTATTATTTGTGGTAATTTGAAAATTAGAATTGTTTGAAGGTAATATTAAATATTGTGGGTGGTGAGTATGTTGGGGAGTTTTTGAGATTGTGGTTTATATATTTGGTTGGGGTATTGTTATTTTTTTGTTATTGGTAAGATGAGGATGAAGGAATATGTTTGTGGATTGGGTTATAAATGAATGGGTATTTGTGTGGTAGTTGATTTGTAGTATGGTTAGTTAAATTATTTGTTTGTTTAGAATGTTTGTTTGTAAGACTTATATATATACTACTTGTGATAGTTAGGTATGAATTAAATTATAAATAGGTATGTGTTGATGAATAATTGATTTATCATAAGCTGTAGAAATATTATGGAGAATATTTATATTTAAACTATAAAGTACGTTAACTTATCCATTAGTTACTTGGGGGTGAACCACAATCTAAGTATAAGGGCTGATGATATTTCTCAGTCATATAAATAGGATTAGGCGAAATGGGGCTCGAACCTGGGATACTTAGTGGCTGAACACATTGACCACAATCTGTATTATAATAGCAATCACTTTTAATTTTCATAATATTTGCTAATGCGATGTAATTTGCTACTACTACTTCTATCCTTTTTAGGCATCTGTAATCGTTTGGGATATTGGAATTCCATCTGTTCCAGACTATAAAACACGTTATCAACTATTAATGCGTCTTCGTTGTCCTAGATTAGATGTGAATCCAGTATTAAATCTAGTTTTCCTTCCACATTATGCTTATTTAATAGCTGGTTGTGAGGATGGACTGTTTGCATGGAAAATAACCGATCTACGTTTAGAGAAACGAGAACGTGAACCGGATATGGAGTTGAAATTGGACTTTAATCATGAAGTTTGTATTGATGCTTTAGCTCAGCTAAGCGATAATGCATTAGTTTTAAAAGTAGTGGAGTCTGGTGAAATTATGGTGTTCGATTTTGCATCTATTTTGGAACGACGTAAAGGTTAGTTAGTAGATATAGAGGTGTATGTATATATTGATTGTTCACGTGTATACTCTAGTTTTTCGGATTCTAATATATCAATTCCGAAAAGCTACTGATTATATCAAATTGTTCTAGTCAAATTTCAACGCAAGAAAATCATTTAGATTATTGTTCTATTCGTATTTACGGATTCTAATTAATAATGTTATATTTCAGCAATAATCATAAAAATATAAACACAGTCTAAACAATGGTTGTAGACCGTGCTAGACACTTGTATTCAGACAATCAAGTGGATGACCATCCTATTCAAGGGGAATACAAGTCTGTATCACAGATAAATATAGCTTACAGTATATATATATACCGAAGGTCCTTAGTTTAATCCCCTGATGGCGGGGTCGTGAATGCACACTCACGAGAAATCCCACACTACGACGAAACAGCTATCCATTGCCACCCGGTTTCCACTGGATGTTTAATTAAGATCATTCCATGATGTCAGGTATGAAATAGAACTAAAATTACACGTTCATTCGTTACTATATTCTCTAAAATTATATGCAATCCAAAAAAATAAAGTCTGTATACACTCGTACATCCATCACAACGGTTTTCACAAATGTCATCAAGTTTTACTGCTGCATAAAATAAAGCAAATATTTTTAAACCTTTTTCAACCTATTCAGTATAAAAAGAGGTGTGAGCTTATCCATCTTGTTTTCAAAGCTTAATAAGTGTGCAGTCTCCAGTTTTTTTGAGCATTTTATCACACATTTGGTGAGTGTTGTTTATATAATTTTCACTGAAGATTTCATTTCAAGCATTTGAAACTATCCACAGTTGTCTGTTATGAACACATTAGTTTAATGCATCCCAACAAGCCGGATGAGAAATATCCATAAAATGAAATTTAGGACTCAAAATCTCTCCACCTAGCTATCACCCATTAAATGAGCAGAATGATACTGGATGACGGACATTTAAAATGGATATATACATATATATGGTAGTGACTATTAAGTATGTGATTTCCTTTCCTCTCATTGATTTCTACTCCAGACTCAGCGAATGTGACTGCATGTAACTGCCTCGAATAAAGTATCTGATAAGTCTTGCTAATTGAAAGCTATATTCGGTTCCCAAGCTAGAACTAAACAGCGACCTGAACATGAGAGACAAGGCGCAAAATATGCGAGAAGCACTTTACTCCAAAGGTTCATTTTAGTACGGAAAATATAAGGTTTTTATAGTGTTTTAGATGTCCTTGGGTTTCCCGAAGATTCTGGAATGCTACTAAACATAGTAGCAGTATAGTATTCAGCCAGTCAGAAACTCTACATGTGACTTTTCACTTTCTTGATGTTTCTGGCTAAACTTCAAGTGAACGCTTCTTATTGTTTCCCGAGCCTTTCTTGTCTTTTGCGAGAAGTTTTCTGGATCATCCCAACAGTATCATCTAGTGTTTATCTGGTTCTTTATTCTGAGTTGTGAATTATGTATCTGAAATAACACTACTAGTCTCATTATTGTATTAACGTGTGACCGTAGTACAGCTGTGAGAAATATTTTAATCCATCCGGTATATCAATACATATATATATATATATAATCACCTAGGCGTCTTGCTTTTTTGAGGTCACTTCTCAGTTTTTAATCTCAGCCAACATACCATCCATTGATTGTGTCTAGTCATAATAGCCATCACAAAGTTGTTTGGGTTTTCCATGGTAGTTAACAAAGTAATGCCCTCAACCTCATCCTGTATTATCGAACTAACCCTAAATAGAGCACTCTTGGTATGTATCCGTTCGGCCTAAAATATACTAACGATTTCGTTCATTTTATCTGGGTCCTGGATGTTGTAAACGTAACTCATGCTCAGTTTTTCCAGACGACTTGTGGTCAAGCGGTTTTGTAATGAAGTGGTTTATTTGTGTTATAACTATGTATATATTTGTCATTTATGTACTACAGGACTTCAGCGTGTTGTCCCAATTGAGATGCGAGGTCACTTGTTATGGCAGAAAACGGATGAAATCTATATCAATGTATCTGTTAGACAAAATCTAGGTGCTGTCCTATGCGGTGATAACGAAGGCTCAATTTGGATATATGACTTGGATCCATACTTGGATGATTTGCATTCTTCTAGTCGTAAACGTTTTCATGTAAAACCAATCAAGGTATAGATGGTTTGCTTTTAAAGATATTTTACATCTATCTGTTATTTGTCATCAAAAAAGCGTCATGGTTTCGGTTGATACGTTTTCAGAATTCTGCACTCTGTCACAGAATTAACACTAAATTGTTCGAATCCTCTAAACATGTACTGTTCACCTAATCTAATTGACAAGTTTTTAAGACTTGATCCTCTACCTTGTTTACACCTGTTGTTTGCAAGTTATTAATCCAAATAATCTTCTACTTTCCATTGTCAATCGTATTTCACCGATCGGTGAATTCACTCTGATTATTCAACTAATTGCGTGCAATATTTAGATTCATTTTTAGTTTTAAGCATTCTAGATCCATATGTTGCTACTGTGTATAATTTTAATCAACAGAACAAGTGGAAGTCATGATATGAGTAAGCATCGTTCTTCTGTTTCACATTGTCACCTAGCCTATTTACTCAATCCTCAGTTGAAAATCCTTAATTTCTGGTGCTTGTTCGAGTACCTAATTTTGTCTTATCAGATATCCAGTCGTAACAACAGGAGTAGTTAAATAACAATCAGTGCTGTTTCCCTTGGTTTCCTTATCCCTTGTTTACCGTTAATGAGCTGAACGCTAAATACGTGCGAAATGAACGGCGATTGTTAAAACGACTTATATCTGGCTAGTTGAAACGATTGATTGATCCGGTAATATATTTTCCAATTAACCAGGTCATCCTGTAATATATATCGTAAACCTTTCGATTTTTTTATTGATATTGTGATACAGATCATGTATACTCTTCAAATTGTTGAAGTGAGACCATAAATACTCTAAACAGCTAACAAAGTACATTACGAGTTTGATTCCAAATATTTTCTGTCGATATATGTCTGAAAATAGTTGTGATACATAATCAGCTGTGTAAACTTTTGTGCATCTTTATTACACTAAAATCCTATACTTTCTGGTCATTAATATTGTAGCATAGTACAAAATAAAAATGTTGTGCAACTAAACGTTATTACGAATAATAATCCAAATAAAAATTATCCACCTAATTTTTGATCTTCAGTCATATTTTGTAATGGTTAAAACTACCTAGTTGTATGATCTTTACGATGTTCATCAAGTATGTTAGGGATCTGCCAGCTGATATAAAACTGAATGTAACCATTTTTCTTTCGATAAAATTCATTATAAACTCATCACCTTTTTTATGTTATCTACTATAAGCCAAATCTTTTGTATTAGAATTCATTAAACTATTTAAGTACCTCAACGAAAATCACTTCATTCAATGTAACCCTAAATGAATTAAAAGAGTTGAGTTCATTCATCCGTACCAGATATAAAACACAATGCAAGCGCTTCAAAATCCAGTTGAATTCTAATTAAATGATAATTCAATAGTGGACCACTTATTTAAAGATGTATTATATTGTATACAACTCTAATAACTACCAACTATCATATCTCACCAACACATTGTGTTACCTTAACATCTATTCAAACAAAAACAATAAAACAACCTATAGTTTAATATTATAATATTTCCAAGAGTATAATTGAAATATCTATCATTTTCCCAATAACAAATCTCTATTAGTTTGTTATTATTAACTGTGTAAGTTTCAATGTATTGTTACATACTCTTCTGAAGCTTTATTATTTACGGCATTTTAGTTAGTAACAGCAGAGGATAACTAGAGCACCACTAAGCAACAATACAATTTAACAGATTGAAATCATGAGTCAGTTGAAGCTAGACCACCAATTTTAACAGTTCCATTTTCTTCGAGTCTACACACAAAATATAAAATTTTCTGTCATTATTCTGTCTACATTATTGTAAATTCTATCTAAATATCTTGTAAAAATTAATTCCTAGATTCTTGAATGGCCTGAATGTTCAGTTCAAGGTAATCGTGATGAAGATCAACAATTGAAAGAAAGTATTACATCAGGTTTTCGTAATCCTGTTGTAAATTCAGTTGAAATGAGCTCAGATGGTTATTATCTAGCAGCTGTAACTGATAACAATCTTGTATGTATATGGCGATATGCTCCACCCCAACAACAACAACAGTACTCTCAAATAATCCAACAAACCACAACATCATCATTACATCAAACTACTCCTATGCAACATAATAGCAATCAATTAACAGCTATCAATAGTTCTATTGTTACTGTTCCCAATGTTGCTAGTATAATCAATGATGACACATCATCGTCAACGATAGCATGCATGGAACTTTTAAACAATACTAATACTAATAATTCATCAATTGCTTTAAAATCAAATGCCATAGAACTTGTTACTACCGGTCAACATTTATTAGAATAAATATCGTTATCATTATGATGATAATGTTATACGATTTGTCTTGTATTTTTGTTATTACTGTATCATGATTTATGTAGATGTTCTCTCCTCTCTCTCTCTCATATATATATATATATATATATATATATATATATATAATTTTGTATAGAACTCAGTTATTGACTTCTAGGCGCCGGAAATATCCTATGCAAATACAAGGCGTCTTTAGTTTTTGATTTTTACTCATTCAATTATCACTTTCGTTTTTTACTATCATCCACCATGTCATATTTGTTCATATCTATAGTTACTTCGAAGAATCATGCTTCATTTATTGTTCTATTCATGTGCCTACATGTTTCAAATACTTGTAAACACCAAGTTAGTTACATTGTTATCAGAAAGATGAAGGTGGTATCACTGTCTCCTTCCGTCTCTCCTTCACTCCAATTTTTCGTTATTTTTGTACCTTCTTTCCGGTTTTTGTAATCCATAGTGTGTTGTCTGCATGAAGTATCTCTCTTTGATATTCTCACTTTAATTTTTACCTAAACAGTATCGATAAAGTGTCATTTGCTATCATTATTACCATATAAAAGTAACATTATTATTATTATTATTAATACGAATTGCAATGTTCAATACTTCATTTGAAAACAAATGATTCCAACTTGTTTCTTATCATATACAATGTGTGTATAATATATTTCCATCCTACTGTTTATATATATGCATCTTAGGAACGCATAATTAATGTAACTGTTTTCATAAAATAGAACTGTTCATTTGTTAAATATTCTGTTAAAGGGATCGTTTGAGAAGCTTGTCTGTTAGTTACTAGTATATTTATTGTCATAATTTAAATTAGTTTAAAAACAAAAATCGAAAAGTGAACTTAGCGGTCGGTTCATAAACCTACGTCCTGTTTTAATTGATTCAGAAACTCTTATGTAGAGCCATTTCCAAGAGAGAATATTCAGTTTTGCTATTCTTATAGTGTGTATAAGAGCAAAATTATATTAATTAAAAAATCACGATAGAATGGAACAGTCATATTACCGTGTTTGTTGACATTCAATGTGAACCAGGTACTTACAGTAATTCTTTCAGCCTACACCTATGGGGAAGATTTATAAGCTAAATTAGCTTGGAACATTTACATTCAATAGTCGTTTTCTTATGTGTAATCAGTCTGAATTAAATATTCTTGTAAACACTAAAGTCTCACTCAAGGAGATCATTATATTTTTATTGTGGATATAATTCAAATTATTTCGAATCACTATCCAGTAGGTTTTTAAGAACTAATTGACTCATTCTGTAAGTGTTTAAATATAAATTTACCAGTTCCCATTAACTTTTAGGTGTAGGGATAATATCAATTCATACTGTAGTTGATTTAGTCTTCATCTGATCTTTAATTTGTAGTTACATGTACATTTATTGATTGGTTCGTTAAAACCCAAATGGTGTATATCCCTCACAATTGATTGATCACTGGGTGGTGATCAATCTCATGCTTGTCTAGTCCTTATTAGTGCAGATCGAATGCTATCGATCATGTTGCAATGTGGCCACCAGTCTAGGTGACTCGACACTGCGGGCACTATGTAATGAGATTAGATGGTGGTTGGAGGTAGTCAACAGGAAACCCTGGACCCGGGTTTCGTGCTACTTGGCACTCGTCAGCAAGGTGTACCTGTAATCTTGAGGGAACTGGTGCTCCCTGGCGGATTCGATCTCGTGTCACCCAGCTTCACAGTCAGAGACGTTACCACTGAGCTATCCGAGCCGTGACTAACCTCCTGTAGGACTGAGATGTAATCACAATTGATTGATCACTGGGTGGTGATCAATCTCATGCTTGTCTAGTCCTTATTAGTGCAGATCGAATGCTATCGATCATGTTGCAATGTGGCCACCAGTCTAGGTGACTCGACACTGCGGGCACTATGTAATGAGATTAGATGGTGGTTGGAGGTATATATCCCTAGATATCTGTTTCAGAAAGCCAATCTTATCAAAAGTTCTTATCGAGTTATACATGTTGATATGTTTGTAACCGACAATTTCTCAGCTCGTAAAGGACTGAATTGTGCACAAGACTATGCAGTCGGTATTTTTACAGTCCCGACCACAATTTCGCAGCTCGTAAAGGACTGAATGGTGCACAAGACCATGCAATCGGTATTTTTAGAGTCCCGACCACTAAACCTGATAATGACTATTAGTTGTTTTTGTCTCATTTGAATAACCATCTGATTTAAACGACCATCAACTTTGAAAACTTATAGAAATATGTTCCCATTCTTTAATTGGATATGCGGTTCTAATAAGTAAATCTGTGGATAATACGTGCAATCACCGTTGGGAGTGTTTGAAATCAAAACACTTTTTAGTCTCCGACTTTACACTTGTCTATGATGAATTAAAACATACTGATAAGAGAAATTCAAACTCAACTAGCCGAATTGAAGAAGCAATCTGTTTAAAGACAAGCAGATTTGCTTAATGATCACAAAATACTTTGGATAACTAGATGAAAAGAGTTTGAAAATTCATCTTATTGATAATATTCTTCAACTATTTAGAGACTATGCACACTACTAAAACACATGTTTATTGAAGAATCCTCAATTCAGTCACAAATCGATTGGAACAGTTTTGAATGAAGTTAACATTACTGATATCTAATGCATCATTGATAATATAGAAAGTAAGCTACAATTTCGGGTTATTAAAAAGATTTGTAGCTTAGAATGATAATTGTGTAGTGATTTCCAAAATCTAATGTCTAACTATAGAATCATATTATCAAGCAAGATTAAATATCCATGGCTAAACGTCGGATTTGTAGAACACTACATAATTGCTGCTAAGTGATGTATTGTTCATCAACATGATTTTAAGGTGGTTCCAACCGGTAATGTATTAAAAACTTTGTCGAAAAGCTAAGAAAAATCGAAATCATACAGGTTAAAGCTTAATTCACTTATGAAATGAATTTGATAGAAGCATTGGTTCATATTTCTTAGCATATCAACATTTGATTAGTTGTCTTTTCCCAATGGAAATTGATTGGACAGTTTTTTTATCACCTCAGCGTGTGTGCTGAAGTCTGGTCAACATTACCATCCATCGATTCCTGGATTTCATTTATAAATTCTTAAGTCAATTTAATCCAATTCTAAATGAGTTTTTCACCATTCGCAACTTCTTGTGTATAATTTCAGCTAACTGACATCATCATAGGATGTTTTAAACTTTATATTTGGTACTTGATAAAAACGAAGTGTACTTTCATTGCATGGCGTTGAAGAAGACCACAGAGCATATCAAGTACAATTATATTCATATTAAATATTAGTTCAAACATAGAATACGTTAAATACTCGTCATATGTTCCGCTTCTACGTAATGGTCCTATGTAATTTTGTCTGTATTCTTTTCAATGTTGATCAAGCAACTTGATTTATTCCATGTTTCTTCCTTTATCTTTTATCGTTTTTTTTATTTTTAAGCACAAATAATCATGAATAATGACGTAGAAAAGTCAAACGATGATGTTCAGTTATCAATTGATTTGGATGGAAATGAAATGACTGGTAAAAATGCCATGTATTTAGCACATGATTTAACACAAGAACAAAAACGTACTGCTGATGTTTTAGGAGAGAATGTATCAAATGGAAATTGTGCTAATAGTCGTAATATACATTTTGTAGACTTACAATTATCTACACCAGTATTACATGGACTACATGATGCTGGATTTATTCGACCATCACCTATACAAGTTAAAGCTATTCCTTTAGGTCGATTAGGTATGGATCTAATTGTTCAGGTACGAGACTTTATGTTTATGTTGTAGACTTTTTTAGGCCAAATTGAAATGTAATTTTCAGGGTCAATAAAATTTGAGTTGTAAAGAATATTGGTTGATTGTGATGATATTTACTGATTATGTTATATAGATATTTGTCATTAACTTTAATATAATGGTTCAAAAATTATCAAAGGCTAGAAATGGCTAGTTCTAAAACATTTTAGATTAGAATTGAACAATAATTCAATATACTTCCTGTCGTTCTCACCTATTCGTTAAGTAATGCAACATTTTTTAGTGAAGCGGTGGTTCAGTGTTTAAGGCGTTCGATTTTCAGTTACTAAATCGTGGGTCCATAATTTGTTCCACTAGCTTCCGTCTGAGCGACCAAGTGGTATCAATACCTCTCACACATAAAGTGTAGCTCGAAGCTAAGTATATTAATAATAATACTGGCAAATAAATATCATTTGATTTGACAATGGATTGTGTGAACTATTAACATATTATACGAGAGTTAACAAAAACCCCACAGAGAGTTTCAGTTTCATCGAGACTACAGATACTTTAATGCTGACCAGCGTCAACTAGCATGAAACCTAGATCTAGGCCTTTCCTCTGATCGACCTCAACAACATTGATTTTAACGTCAACCTATAGTTCATTTGATGTTAAATCATTTAGACTTTCGGTCACATTAGAATCCAGTCGCTAAGATCCCACCAGCATCAAAGACTGTTAGGACCTTGCTGTAATAAGTATAGAGAAAAAACAACCTCTGTTGACATTCAAAGTGAACGATGTCATCTCTTGACTAGTGGGTGACGTCTGAATCATCTAGTTGATGGGAAATTTTTTGTTAGTGGGAATATTCTTTCCCTAATTTATGTAATTTATTGATCCGTGTCAAAAATTTCAGCATACTTTTCAAAATCCTGTCATTTTTCTAAGCACCTTGATTTTCAGAAACGACCCTTGAACTCAACTGGGGTTCGATCGAAAAGTTAGGATCACTGGAAAGCTAATTCGTTCTAGTAAGGTCAGAATTGATTGGAGTTGGAAATGTGTACCATTGGATCCTGACCCAGTGGTCGAACGTTTAAGTACTCACCGATCCTGAGTTTAACCCCTGATTTTTTCATGGGTCCACAATGCTCAAGAATCTTATCCTAGAACCAAACAACCTGATTCTCAATGGCACCCCAAATGAGGTCGGTCTGTGACAAATATCACCTACAAATCCACTTTTTGTCATTTCTTCACGTATGAGATTTGTCTAAAGTAAGGGAAACTGTTCTTTACAAACCACCTAACTAAATGTTTATTATTTTTATAATTTCCTTTCATCTCTCTGTATTTCCTGTTTTTTTTTAACATCGGAAAAAAGGCTAAATCTGGTACCGGTAAAACGGTTGTTTTTGCTGTAGTTATTTTGGAAGCAATCAATGTAAAACGACCTACTATACAAGCAATTGTTTTGTCACCAACTCGGGAAATTGCATTTCAATCACAAATGGTTATTGAACGATTAGCCAGTCATATACCAGGTTTAAAATGTCATCTATTTGTCGGTGGTAAGTATATATATGTATATGCCGTTATTTATTGGCTATTGTCATCAAATATCCATGGATTTATTATCGTAGAGCATGGAAATAGATTTGTCAAATGCATTTTTTTCACTGAGATACTCCTCGTTTTTTGAATATTCTCTGTGAATCTGATTAATGTAAACAAAAAAAGTTTCATCAATGCTCAGTTTGAAATTTTCTTTCGATGAATAAATGCCATTCAAC